CCACCAGTGAAAGAGCCAGTAAATCGTCTAGAGGGTGGCTTGAAAATTCACAAAATGGTCCATGTTCCTCCCAGTAACAAGAAGAATGGTGCCCTGAGAAAGTGTCGCGTGAGTGCTAAGCACAAGATTAGAAAAGAAACAAGTATCATGTGTGCAGGCTGTGGTGTGGCTCTCTGCAAACTTTCATGTTTCAATGTTTATCACAGGAAGAAAAACTAATAAAGAGGTATGGAAAGGCATTTATTGCATAAAATATTGTATTTTAATTAGTTCCTGAAAATTTCGTTTTTAAAAACCAATTTTTGTTGAAGTTGTTTAGGAAAAAGTAACTACATGCATTTTAGCGACATAAGGTTTAAAGGGCCTGCCAGGACAGGGGTGGGATTTAAATACCCTTCGCGCCAGTCAAAGAGTTAATGTTTCACCAGTGGAGTGTGCATTCGTATCATGTTAAGTCCACGCTTACCTTTGCATGATTTTTATTTGCATGATTCAAAATGGAGAGACAACACACACCGTCTTCATATTATAAACAACACTGTCTATCAAATGCAGTGCTCTGTTTCAGAACCAATCCATAAAGAAACAGTTTGACATGGCAGTAAATTTAGTCACTGTCAGTTTTCCCGTGATCATTTTAACCCCCCACATGAATATGTAAACCCCAATGTATAAAGTATATTTTAATGCATTTTCCTAATTATAAATCCATGAGATATCATTCACTGTGAAATTTGTGGTATCAATTTTAACAATACATCTGATATTTTATCTTGTCCTTCCTTAACGGATGTAGGAAAGTTCTTTAATCGCCTGTTATACCTCAACGATGTCCTATGTTCCTTGGCCCCTTTATAGCTTATGGAGATCTTAACTTCAGTCTCTTTAGTCTTTTATATTTTATGATGTATTTTATGCTTACATGCGAATATTGTATTTTATTCTTGTTTCTTTTTCTACAACTCAAGTACTTTTGTTACAGAATATCAGATATCCTCTTACTTAATTTTGATGATGGCTAGGAGTCCATTGTTACACTTCCATTTACAGATCAGTTGTGTCTTGTTTTAATTTATTTCTTCTCTCCACTTTCACTTGAACTTATTTCTTATATGATTAGGGTAATGTAAATCTTTATTTATGCTTAAATCTTTCTTTTTCATTTTATGCCAGTTTACTCATTACTGTATAGAGTTGGACAGTATACAGTATAATAAGACATGGACTAAGTAAGTGATACACTTAAAATCCTGCTACCAACTTAAATGTCTAGAGCACTGTAACATCCTAGGTGTAATTATCCTGATATTTTCAAAAAGAGAGTAAGAATAACACAGTTAGGATAATCTTCATTTTCCTCTTATTCTATTTTCTTATATATGAACATTTTCATTTACTACCTGTTTTCAAATGTTTGTACATTGTGTATCCATCATAAAGGCATGTTTCACTACCATTAATGCAGGTAATAATCTACTTTTCACATAAATTTTTGTTTTTAGCTTTTGATAGCTAGGTGACTTGGTAATAGCTTTTCAGTTGCACAGTACAGTAATTTTTATAATTTTATTCTATTGTTGAGTGTTATATGTTATGAAACAAGATGTAATACCATGAAATGTGAATTAAGCGTGATCTTATTCCACTTTACCAGAAAATTTTGGAAGCACTGTCAAGTCTGAAGAAGTGCTGTGTACTGTTCCTTGATGAAAAATAACACTACTGGATGTACAAAGAAATGAAAAAGCGTTTACTACTGTAATAAGCTGTGCAAGAGTGACTTTTTAAACGGTATAATAAACACCTCTAAAATATTCTTTTTTCATGTATCAATAATTAATTAGTTCAAAACAGACAATGCACAGGAAGGCCAGTTCTACATAATGAATGTAATTACCTCTTATTTGTAACTTAATCCTGTATAAATAATTAATAAGTATGTCATAATTGTTATGAAACTCATTTTGAAGTCTTATGTAATTCAAATCAGGAGCATTGATATTTAAAATCAAATCGATATTTCTTCAGGTATTTTATCTGTATTTGCCTTTCATAACCATTGACCCTTATGTAATATATAGGATGACATGTTTTCTTATGGCGCATACTGTTTTGTGATGTTAATTGTTTGATAAGTCATAGCTTATTGCAAAGCTCATAATACACGTGAACTTGTCACAACATACAAGTGTTAAAACTCAGAAGTTTTGCAGATCGATATAGGTACAGTTCACTGAGCTACCTAGTGTAGTGACAACACTCAAGACTTGTATTTGGGAGATGTTCCATTCAAACGTCAGCTAGAAGACTGGCTCTTTCTTAAGTTCTTTTTCTGATGTTTTCTTCAGTCTACATTGACAGATGCCCTGATAGTACCATGATTAACCCATGACCATTTCCTTCCAAATCCCCTCCACTGACCAACACTATCATGTTCACTCTATCACTGGGGAAAATGGAACCCACCCTATGGGTGCCTGTAGGGTGTGTTCTGTTATCCCCAGCAAATGTGAAGATAAAATATTCTGGATTGAATGATAGCAATCATTACCTGAATTCAGTCTCTTCCTAATTTACTCCTGAATCAAATTTTGATTTCTTACTGTTGTCACCAAATATTTAAACCATATCACATTCTTAAAATATCTGTTAAATATATTTATGTTATGATTTTCACTGCATTTTGGCTGTGAGTCTTAGTTTTCTCTTGCATTTACTTCTAGACCAAATTCCTTACTAGTGCTAATTAGAGTTTCTGTTTTCTTGTTTTCTCTATGATATCTATGTTATCCCCCAATATATTTACATCATCGACATAGACCAGCACTTGATGAGTCCCATTTAACAGTCCCACCTCATTCTCTTTCCTAATGGTGTATTCTAAAACATAGTTAACACAATGATGATATGTCTCAATATTATTTCTTTTGAATGTCTTCAGATGCTCTCAGATCTTGAATAGTGCCAGTGGAGTGGAATGTCGTATATTCTGTTATTTGCAGTCTAGTATTTAAAGAAAATTTTATTTTGTTCTGTAATTTTATCGTATTTTGTTAATAATTTTAGTGGCTTTTGTTAGTGTTACTGAATCTGAAAACTCCATGTGCCTTGTTAAGTATAGAAGAAGAATAACAAATAACAAGGCTTGATGCGTATGAACCCAGAGACTTTAAGGTTCAACAGAATGGCAAGAATCAAAACAGGTCATTCACGAATTTCTAGTTTTCTGTGAGGAAAATAAATATTCTGTTTCATTTGCATTTGGTTTGAATACAGAAGTAACAGGAATGTGGCAGGCATTAGAGATCTCAAACATTTATCTGAAAGAATGGAAAAGAAACATGAACCCATTTTGAAAATTAGTAAAATTTCATGTTTTCATTTCTGTAGACACACTCTCAGCCAAATGAAGGTTATTGTTCAATATGTATAATATAAATACCGCGATAAATGCAACAATTTATTGTAGTTCTTTGTCTTTCTTCTTTCACACTACATGTTTCGGCCGTGACTGGCCATCATCAGGTGTATTTCACTTACATAGCTGTCACACTGCATGTAATTTAAAATTTAAAAACACCAGCTTTCTCAATTGTCATTGCTGAGTTTCAGTCAGTCCTGATATACCAGAATCCATTGTTGATTTTTTCAGTTATGTTTAAAATCTCTGTTAATATACATTCATCCATTTAATTTTTTTTTATTTAAATCACAGGGATACCTGCTCTATGTCTATATGTCCTCCAGTGGCTACTTCTTGCTTTCAACACCATTCACGTATTATTCTGTACAGGTTCCCTGTGTGCTTGGCCCTGTTTATCTTTAATATGTTTGCAAACGTATAATAATACAGAATAATACGTGAACAGTGCTAAAAGCAAGAAGTAGCCGCTGCAGCACATATAGACATAGAGCAGGTAATCCTGTGATTTAAATAAAAGAAATTTAAATCAATGAGCATATATTAACAGAGATTTTAAACATAACTGACAAAATCAGCAAGGGGATTCTGGTATATCGGGACCGATTGAAACACAGCAATGACAATTCAGAAAGCTGGTGTTTTTAAATTTTATATCACATGCAGTGTGACAGTTACATAAGGGAAATATACCTCATGATGGGCACTTACGGCCGAAACATGTGTGAAAAAAGAACTACAATAAATTGTTGCATTTACGACGGTATTTACACATATACTGAAGTGTTCGTTTTTGTTTAATGCGTAGAAGAATGTTGAATGATATTTTTTCGGTTCAGATCGTAATCAGTAATTTCCCTATCTAATATTTTAGCACAGGTATTGTGGGGAGGATACATTTATATAAAGTACATGTATATCCTTCAGATATGTCTAAAAACATAAAGTTACAATGGGGGCATTCGAAAATAGAATATTTTGGGAAATGTTGGAAATTGTAAGAGTGAATGAAGATAATTGTGACATAATGCACTTGCGAGCGTTCTGAAATATCAATATTTCTGAAAAATGCATTTATGACCATTATAAACATCGTAATATATTCCAGTTTTCATAGATTACATAGAGAGTTTAACAGAAAAATATATGCAAGAGTTTATCATGTGAGAAAATTCGGAAATAAAATGTCCCGTATAAATAAATAATGATTTCATACGCTATCAGAAACATACAATCGTAAGATATTGCCTAAGGTCAAACAGTGCTCAACTGTGCATAACGATGCGCAGTAGTCGTTTCCGCACACCCGTCATAATGTACTCACAACCTAACATTATCGTAAATTACCGAACTTCGCCCCCTCCAAGGTACAAATGGATGCGCAGTAGTCTACTGCGCAAAACTTATCTAACCCAACCCAACCCAGCTTAACCTAAACTATCCTAACCTAATATCGGCGAATGGTACCCGTGATTTACAGGTAGATGTACAGTACTTCATTGCGCACACCTAAGTGTGACGTCATTTACGAATCTGCTATTTAACGGAACGTAATATAGGAACGTCGTAACATGGAATATAAATGGAAATATAACGTTATGTATCAAATTGAGCGTGTTGACTGTGTTTAGTTCCAGAATATTAATCTATCCTCTTATATTCCGAGGTTATATTGATACGTGATAGCTTAGATGTTGTCGGAAACGCCGCTCCCACCTCACGAGTTTGCGCATCCAGCACGGTCATACAAATGATTACTGAATATCATATATTATGGCATTATGCTGACTTCCGATGACATAATGTTGTGACGAGAAATCTTTATTATCAGTGAAATCGTTCCCTTCTTTCTCGTTGTTGGATACACGACCAATTCAGTGACTGCTTGGCATTTGTTTCGCCGAATTTACCTTCCTGGATAGGAATTAGAAAATTATTGTACACGAAATGGCGTAAAAGAAAGGGAGAAAAATACCCGTCCTGTAATCGAACTGATAACGTAATGTTTCTGTTTCAGTCATGTTGAGAGGTTGGCTGCCCTGTGACTGTGACCTACATATCCGGTGTACAAAATGAAGGTACGTTTCTTTCCTGGTATAAAGAGTTGTCTATAAATAATTATAGGGTGTTATGTGTATATGTTTATATTCATATATGTGCAAGTTCTGGTTAATTATCTGCCTTAAAATATATATGTTAAAAGATTCAGTGATATAGTGCAAATTGTAGGCTTTAATGCGTGTATTATCCTGAACCCAGTAATGGCGAATGCACGAAATTATGCAAACATGAGTTTCCTCCGTTCCACAACGAAATCGATTTGTTTTCCGTTTGAACCATGAAACTGAAGTATGTGTGAAGGAAGGATACACAATAACGTACATTTAATGATTGAACTAAATAAGTGCATACAAGAATAGTGGGTGTGCAGTGAAAGACAATGTGTCTCTGAGGTTATTCTTGCACAGTTATTAATAATCTCGTGGAAAGTGTGTACAGTGACCTCACAAAATGTGTAGTAATTGTTATATGGATGGAGAGTGGACTAGATTTAATGAGTGCATATTTGGTATGACAGAAAACTGGGTGTACTTTTGGTATATAGCATCTGAATATTACACACGTGAGAAGGTTGTTAGTCATAATGAAATTTTTTTTTTATTTGTATAAGTACTTGTAAGAAGAGGGTGCAAAGTGAATCTCTAGTTGCAATTGACAGAGTTGTTTTTTTATTTTTATCTTAGTTCTGTGTAACAGAGTGTTTTGTGTATAATGTGTGCTGTTTTGTCACAATAATGTGTAGTGTAAAGTGATGTTTATATTCTCTAGTATGACTTTATATTTTTGTGTGTAATATATAGAGTTATGTGTAGTGAGGTTTTGTAGTGATTTCAAGAATGTTAAGATCTCCATTCACCCACAATGTATTCAAAGTTTCCCCCTTTATGTACATGTCTTGTTTGCTTCAAGAATTCTTGCTTATGACAAGTGGCATGCTAAGTGAAACAAATGTTTTTTGTGTTATGCTGGCAATCCTGTTCAATGACAATGCAAAATGGTGTGTAGATTATGTGTTGTAGCATAAAGAATGTTGGCAAGTGATTTGTAAGTTAGGTGTGTATTTCGGTGTGATAGACAATGGATTGCATTCTTGCCATCTAA